AGGGACTAAGGGGAGTAGTAGGAGGAGTGTGTCAAGGGGGATGGAGCTGTTTGCGAGAGAAAGGCATAAAAGTTTAGAATACAAAAGCAGAAATTCCCCAGCAGAGTAGAGTATTCTGGAGAAGTATTGCTATATGTTTGTGTGTGGTTTTTACTCTTCTTTAAGTGAATTATAATTATCGCTTTGTCAATGATATGCTTTGTAAATAATATACAGGTTTCTCAGAGCTTTTGGTTGATCCAGCACAGCCATTATACTGTTATTCAAGAAGATAGGCTTCAGTAGTTTCTGCTAACATACCAACTAGTTCTTTTTTTAATCATTTATTGGTGTTTTCTAAAAGAATGCCTTTCTTTCTGGTATGCTGCTTCTCTTGCTAGAACTATACAGTAGCAAACATGAAACAACAACAAAAGATTGTTAACCAGTATTCCACATATTATCTTATGAACCAAAAAGTGCCTGTTCTCAAACATGGTAGTATGTTTGAGCTGGAAGATAACCTAGAGGTATTTGTATTTTACCCGTATTGTAAGTTATCTTCTATCTTTCTGTAATATTCAAAATATCATAGTTGATTTTATTTGCATAATGCATTTTCTTTCTTTAAAAAGTAAAGAGTTTCCAAATTACTGTTTTTTTACTGAATGAACTCCATCTTGATAGTTAAGTGTGGTAAAGTATTTTGTCACCTCTCTATTATCACATGGATCATTTCCCTCCTGTGATTTCAAAATTGATTTTTCCATGCACCCTTTCACAAAACGTGATGTGGCAACTCTGGCAGTCACATGTATGTGAAATACCTGGAGGGATAATTGAGCCTTATGCATTTTAAACTTTGATTATATAGTGAAAATCAGAGAAGTTGAGTAATTAAAAGATTTGTATTGGGATTCCTGCTTTACCTTCCACAAAACTCCATGTGCTCGTATGAGACGCAAATAACACCAGATCAGACTTTTACTATTAAATGGATGTTATATATTTAGTATCTTACCAAAGTGTGCTTCTGTTTGAAATAACTCATTCCAGCCTACTTCTGAAGCTGTTCCTGTATACCCTACTCAGGTATTTCTCTTGGATTATTTTGTCTCTGCTGGTTAAAAATGATTTATTCTGCACAAAAATCTCTCTGTGGTTCTGGGGTAACTCAGATTGTATTATACAAAGCATGCAGGGTTTTTTTGAAGAAAATGTTACAACCTTTGTAAGAAGTAGTTGTTAGCATGTTCTGACATTTAAAAACAATTTTTTAAAAGTTAGTTGTATGTCAGAGTAGAAAACATAATATATCGTGAAATCAGTCATGGACCTAAGCACCTTGAGAATATCCTTTTCAGGGGCAAAAAAGAAGTCCGTCCCGTCCCCCCCCCCTACTTATATAGCTAAAACCATATAAGGCCAAGCTTATAAAGCTTAAAAGGAGAAAACATTGCAACACTTCCAACACAATTTTCTGGGAGAGTAGGAGGATGTACTTAAACTCACACGTTAAGGAAAATAAAACTTGTAATATCAGAGACTGTCTGTTTTTGTTTGGTTTTATCTTCTTTTTTTAATATGATAAATCTACAAATTTGGATTTTTATAGGCAATTGGAACCTGAAAACTCAACTTCTGTCTTTGGCCCACAAAAAGATTATGAAATTAATTCCTTTCTCAGAAAGACTGAACTTCATTGCCAAATATGTCTTATTCTTCACAGCACCTCAGGATATTTAGTGCTAAGAGAATCTTCTTGCACATGGCTGGCTTCTCCCCTTTGCACTGGCACACACCTGCCTGCACTCTTGTCTCCCTCCTCTTCTACGCCAGCTACCCCCAGCAGGTTTCACAAGGAATTGCTGATGATGATCTTCACTGGGAGAACTTCACCTCTTCCTGATTCAGGTCTCTTATTCACTCTCTGATCCAGATAATCTGAAGCTGCAAATGGCAAGATGATCATTTTTACAATAAATAGATATTAAGTGAAAATGTAATTCCACATCATTCCAAAATTCTCCTGCCTTGATATCTACGTCCAGCTTTTGGGTGCTTGCAAGTTTAATGCTCTGTCCTTCACTTCAGATTCACCATTGGGTTGGCTTTGCTTGTTCGCTTTGACTTTTTTAGTAAAATCACCTCGATAAAGACAACATGCGCCTCAGTCATGTTATCAGATAAGATGGTGTGTTTGTAACAAGAGAAAGTGGCTCTGCCCTTAAATACACCTTCTGTTTCTTGGAGTCACTGAAGTGTCCTTGTGTTCCCTATGATACCTCGCAGGGACCTCGTGGGAAATCTGTGTGTTGCTCTCGTAGCATAGGGTGTAACAGGTGAGCCAGCACTGAGAAGGCATTGGAGGTAAGGAAGGAAGTAATCTAGGTCTTTGTTAAATTGGGGATGTTTACAGCTGCGGGGACATGATTTTTATAGTCACTGCGAAGAATACGTCAGAACACGGGCAACGGTATGGCTGATCAGAGGTTCATCTAGAAGGCTGCAACCAAGTACCAGTGTTCGTGATTTCTTCCCTATGCCCATTTCTCACTGGGTGTAGATACACCTGATCTTTTTTGGGGTGTTTGCATTGATGAAGGGGAGTGAGGACATGACAACAGACATGCATCTTTAAAAAGGAAAAAAAAAATCTGAGCTTTTTTTTTTAAAGGAAAACCTAATTGCATAATTTGGGAATAGTGAACAAATGAAGAGTCTTTCCACATATTCGAGTTATGTTGCTAAGTATCATTTCAGTAAGAATAACATTGATACCATAATACGGATTTTGAAACCAGCTAGGGTATAACTGGTTTTTGTCTGCAAGCGTAAGCTTATCCCAACCAATTCAAAGAAGACTCAAGTCCAAAGTGTGACAAATGTTTCCTGGTCATTATAGCCCATAGGTGGAAATGTTTGCCTTTGGCCTGACTGCAGGTGAGGGCATATGCAAGTTAGAATCGTAGAACCATCAAACAGCCCAGCCTGGAAGGGATCTGGAAAGATCGTCTGGAAATTCACAGGAAAGGGAGCTTAGATGAGATTATCTAGCGCCCTGTCTAGTCGCATCTTGAAAACCTCCTGCAATGGGGACTCTACCACATCCCTGGGGTGGTTGTTCCAGTGACCGATTACTCTCGCTGTAAAAAATGTCTTTCTTATATTGACACGAAACCTCTCCCAGTGCAACTTGTACCCCTTGCCCCTTGTCTTCTCCATGTGGCTCCAAGTTACTTTGTAATTTCTGGTTGCTCCTTTTCTGTTTGGCAGAAAAGCACATGCACCAGAATTGGCAAGTAGTTTTTACCATGCCAGTTGCATAAATGTTTGCACACCACATTAAGTATACCAGTTTTCTCTAAAGATACTTAAAAAAAGTAACTAGCAGAGGTTTAAGCAAACTTCCTTTCTATTCACCTTGACCACCATTTTCACACCATAATATGAATACTGAAAATTTAGCTTTACGAAACAAGTTGCTGTTAAGATGCACACTGCTTCCCTACGTTTACCTGGTGAACACTCTAAAAAGAAGTGCCATGTCTCTTATGTTGCTTTCTGAACAGGCGCCGCAGTAAATCTTGCGTTTGGTATAATGAGTTGTAATGTTTAGTTATGCTAAAGGTACTGTGCAATAACAGATTATTGTTGTTCATATCTGTGTAATAATTGAAACTCCCTGATCATACTTCCCATTTTACACATTGTCAGAACCTTGGACCTTAATCTCACTCTTTGATTGACAGTCGTGGCCAGGGAATTTTAAGAGCACTCATATTGTTTGTGATAGTCGCATCTGTTCAGTTTGATTCAGTTGAGAGTATTTGCATATTCTTAAGTATTTCTTCTGAGAGGGCCTAAATCCTTCTCAAGTGTTTGATGCATTTTTGAAATTCATTCATAAGGTATCTACATGCACTAATAGTTCTGTATAATATTGCTGTGCATAATCTGACAGATAAGGCTAGTTTTTTAAACAAGGTATTCTTTGGGGATGACATATTACATTCTGACTTATTCTACTGGGCGGAAATGTCAAGTACGTTGAAAAAAGATGCTTGAATGTTTTGGTTGAATTAGTATTCTTCATTCAACACAAATTGTCAACTGCAGTAAAATGTAGTCTTTTTGTGAGAACATTTTTCAAAAGAGTTAACAGCAGGGCTTTTTGTTTTATTTTTGTTACTAGAGCGTTATTGCATATTTCTTTGATGCTGATGCTAATATTAGATGGAACAAGGGAGTACATGCTTAGATGCATTTTAGATTAATTTGTCTGAATTGTTAAACTGTGAGCAACACCTTTATTTTGAAATATAACCTAGGCTTTTATCATTCTCTTTCTTGCTTTTCATTTTTTTTTCCCTTGCAAAATTTTTATCAATAGTTTTGGAAGCATTGTCAATCTTAATTTCAGAAACCTACCACTGCTAATAGTACATGTACAACACTAGTGAGAAGTACCATCGCTTTGAAGAATATTCAGACATTATATTTGAACATTAAACACAGATAGCAGTTCAACATATTAACTTGATGGCCTTGTACTGTTATGTAAAGAAATACATGCATAATTGAAACTGATATCTTCCATAGGTTGGAAGTGCTAGTCCAGGACTATCCAAGTTTGGACAGAACTAGTCCAGATTGCTATCAGAAGAAATGGAGATATATTCCTGCTTGCTTAAACAGATGTGTGCTGTGGATGCTGCTATAAGCTCAAGCCCTTAAAGACCTAGGTTCTCAGATGGAAGACCACTAATCACAATGAATAACCTTTTTTTTTTTTTTTTTTTCCATTGCACTAAGCAGGTGTTCAAAGAGCTACCATTAGTGGCTGACCTAGTTTAAGAAATGGGTTTCTGCCTCTAGAAGGGACCATAGCAATCCTTGCTGCCTGCATCCTTGCAAAAAGAATGATGCAGATTTAATAAGTGTATGTTTTATTTTATGCACACGCAGGTTTTAGTGTAACAGCACCTTTTACGTTTATTTTGGTTTTCCTTTGCTTTCAGGAATCTCCTTCTGGACGCAGAAAAGCGCTTGCCACGAGCAGCATCAACATGAAGCAATATGCAAGCCCCATGCCTACACAGACAGATGTCAAGTTAAAATTCAAGCCTTTGTCTAAGAAAGTGGTATCTGCCACACTACAGTTCTCTTTATCTTGTATTTTCCTGAGGGAAGGAAAAGCCACGTAAGTTGTTGGGGTTTTTTTTTTGTTGTGTTGTGGTTTGTTTTTTGTTTTTTTTTAACCAAATAGCCTTTGTGTTGCTTTTCAAAGAATTCTTTGGATAAACATCTCTTTCTGTATAGAATGACAGAATTTAAGAGTATCCTTCAGCATACCTATCATTCCTGCCATACTTAGTTTCTTAGCTGAATAAAAGTCGTTTCTTACTCTGATTTTAGTCTTGTGTTCTTCAGAGACAAATGGCTTATCCTCTACCATTATAGACATTTTAAATAACAGTAGCTTAAAAATATCTACAGGTTTGAAATCAGCAGGAGTGTACATCAACAGACTGGAAGGGAAATGTGGGAAGGAGAACTTATTTCTATTTCACCTATTTATATTTCACAAAGAATGAAAGAAGGACAAAGCCAACTGTAAGGTGAGAGAGAGTGGAGTCAGAAGTAAGATTTCGGGTTGAACACAAGACCATTGTGTGAAAAGAGTTCAGTTGGGCACTGATTACCACTCCCCCTACTTACTCACCTGGTTCTGTCCCTTATTTCAACAGCCTTTGGAAGGCAGAGGATACAGATTATTTTTGCAGGTCCTATAACCTCTCCTGCAAATTCTGTCAGATTCAAGATGTCAGATGTTAACAACTTCTTGTGGCTGGAGGATGGATTGTTTGTCACCCATCCTGTTTTGCTTTTCCTTTCTGTCTCTAGAATATGGGAATGTGAGAATCATACAATTATAGAATCACTTAGGTTGGAAAAGACCTTTAAGATCATCGAGTCCAACTGTTAACCTAGCACTGCCAAGTCCACCACTAAATCATGTGCCTAAGCACCACATCTACCCGTCTCTTAAATACCTCCAGGGATGGGGACTCAACCACTCCCCTAGGCAGCCTGTTCCAGTGCCTGACTACCCTTTCGGTGATGAAATTTTTCCTAATATCCAACCTAAACCTCCCCTGGCACAGCTTGAGGCTGTTTCCTCTCTTCCTATCACTTGTTACTAGGGAGAAGAAACCAACCCCCACCTCGCTACAGCCTCCTTTCAGGTAGTTGTAGAGAGCGCTAAGGTCTCCCCTGAGCATCCTCTTCTCCAGGCTAAACAACCCCAGCTCCCTCAGCGGCTCCTCAAAGGACTTGTGCTCTAGACCCTTCACCAACTTCGTTGCTCTTCTCTGGACACGCTCCAGCACCTCGATGTCCTTCTTGTAGTGAGGGGCCCAAATCTGAGCACAGTACTCGAGGTGCGGCCTCACCAGTGCCGAGTACAGGGGGATGATCACTTCCCTAGTCCTGCTGGCCACACTATTTCTGATTCAAATGGCAGAACAAAAAGGGGTAGATGGGGAAACTACTGCCCTAGAGGTTCTTTTACCTCTTTTTAAATTTCTTTTTTCCCCCAAGAGACTAACAGTTTACTTCTAGCTTTCAGTATTCTGAATGCACTTGTAGACATTGCCCACTGCGATACAAGTGCCCCAAAACTGTTGCATGAACAGCATGACTGTCATGTTAAGGCATACATTTTGACACAAAAAGGTTTTTTGTCTGCATGCTTTGAAAGCCACAGATGCATTAATTACAATTAATTACTATTACTGTTTCCCTTCTCTGATTAACCTGTTGTGAACCAAATTTTGACCTACCATATAAGAATGAAATTTTGAAGTATTTAACTGTGGTTTAACATGGTATTGCAGCTGAAAATGGGAATCAAAAAGTCAGTATCTGATAACTTCCTAATTTTTTTGGAACAACCAACATCAATGAACTATACAGTAAATAGCTATACTAGGCTCTTAGTGCTTTTTGAGGCCATAATTTGTAAAAGCTGATCCATTTAGGATCACATATACCTTCTTCTCATTGAAATCAATAGGTTTCAGACTGAGAACTGTAAGTCAGGTAGACAGTAAGTTAACAACAGGTCTTTAATATTGCCCTGAACCAGGGACCTGATGAAAAAAAAAATAAGCTGTTCTTTGTGAAAGCATTGGTTTCCAGTATGTGTAAACAGAGATTGTCCTACTAGTCAAAATAAGAGGGAGAATTCAGATGTCATATACATGAACACGCAAGAAAAGGTAGCTAGGCCAAGGTTTATTTACATCTCTTACAAACTGTAGTAGTTCCATAAAGTGAGATTTACTTTTAATTTTATTTCATGCACTTTATAAAGAAAATACTGCAGCCTGTTGCTGTGCAGTACCAAAAATCATCTTATTTCTGAAACACAGAAAAAAATATTATAAAATATGAATACAGGAAGGACAGTAAAAATAAATAGTACTTTGGAGACCTTTTAATTTCTAAACTTTACATGAACAAGTGATTTACAAGATCTGAGTGCCAACTGCTCCAGCTTTTTGTCTTCAGTGCATAAAAGAGCCCGGCCATCAATGCCTCTATAGGGTGCTACGTTTTCTCCCCTGTGCTTAAAGAGTTGATTTAACCATTGGTTATCAAAACGGGAAGATGAAACCTTGAGAATTTTGCATGAAGAGAAAGGTCTTTCTGACTTGTTGATAGTTACTTATTTTATGTTTATTAATACTTCTTACATGGTAGAAGTACTTAGTTGTCTTACGTGACCGTGGGTTCTGTAATGCTGATTACTTTGAATGCGCAGAGTAGCAAATGATTGCCCCCAGTTTAATTGCCCTGAGTTTAATCCCATGTTTTAAGTGCCTCTGTGTTTCTGTGCAGATTTGAGGCATGATTAGTATGTCTTTTTTTATTCCTACAAGTGGTACCTTTAAAATAATTTGTATAGTTTTCTTGGCATTGTTAGGCACACAATCTGTGCATCTGGTTTTATCATGGTCAACTTCAAAGAAGATAGAATAATTCAGGTTGGAAGGGACCTGTACAACCTCTCTGGGCAACCCATCCCACCGCTTGTTGATGACTGTTCCAACTTTTTTCTCACATCAGATCAGAATTTCTCTGGTTTCAATCTGTGTTCACTGTCTGTCATCCTCCTGCCTTGCACCACTGGCTTCTCAGCAATGTCCTCATAGGTGCTGGTAGGGTGCTGCTAGGTCCTCCTGAAGCTGTCTCTTCTCCAGGCTCCACAAGTCCATTTCCCTTAGCCTCTCTTCGTAGGGCAAGTGCTCCAGCCCCCAGCCATGTCAGTGGCCCTCTGCTGACATTGCTCCAGTTTATCAGCACCATTTCCTGTACTGTGGGACCCAACACTGGGTGAAGTACCCTAGATGCAGTCCAATGAACTCCAAGTAAACGGGGCTCATGACTTCCCTCAGTCTGCTGCTTGTGGTCCTGTTTTAATGTGTCTCAGGATGCTGTCTGCCTCCTTTGGCTGCCAGGGCATGGTGCTGGCTCTCCTTAAGCTTGCTCTCCACCAAGATCCCCAGACTGTTTTCAGCAGAGGTGCTCCCTAGCCAGGCAATCCCCAGACTGTTTTATTGTAAGGAGCTAAAAAAAATAAATTGATTAACCATCTCAATAAACCTATTGAAATGGTTTTAAACGAGAATGGGTAAGACTGCTGTTGCTTCAAGAATGATATCATGTACTTCAAAAATCTTGGGGTTTTTATGAAACAAATGTAGAACGTCAGTTTCTCTGAATCTTTGCATGCTGTCGTCTTTTCATCAAACATACATTTGATATGAAAGGTACAGTTATGTGAAAGATATATATATATATATATATATATATGAGATACAGTCAAATGAGAATTTAAATTGGCCATTGCTATATAATGGGTTTTTATCTTGTTAATGAATTCAGATGTTTAGAAAAGGGATTTTAATTTCTGTAACAGTGTCAGGAGTTCTGAATGAATATAGTGATAGGTGTCACATGCAGCATATGGACAATAGGTCTGACCAAGCAATTAACTTCAACCAAAGGAGACCAGATAAGTGTTTACTAGCATTTCTGGGCTGGTTTAAAATTTTGAGAAGCAGTTGCTAAGTTGACTCCTAATGCACAGGCAGGACTGTTTTTACCCTTTAGAATTTTGTTAATAGAAAACTTTCCCTTCAGAAATTAATATACATGAGTGCATTCATTTTGTTCTTTCACTATATTCAAGATCAGATCTGAGATCAGAGACCTCCCTGAAGAAAAGAAAGCATAAAAATATTTAAAGGATTTTTAATAATGCAGCAGTATCAGATGTGGTATTAACAGACTGCATTTTAATGCCTGGTTTGCAATTTGTTATTTAGGGATGAAGACATGCAAAGCCTGGCTAGTTTGATGAGTATGAAACAAGCTGATATTGGAAATCTAGATGATTTTGAGGAAGACAATGAAGAAGATGAAGAAAACAGAGTGAATCAAGAGGAAAAGGCTGCAAAAATTACAGGTTGGTTTTGCCACACAGATGGTAAAATATAGTTCCCTTAGCTAATTGCCAGCTGCGTTCCATGGATTTTATCCTTATGCTATATTTGTATTTAATTTTAAACAACGCGAACCAAACCAAAATTTAGGATATTTTGAATGAAGAGGGACTCATCCATAACTCAACAAAGTTTAATATTTGTGAATTTAAGAGCATTGATTTGTGTGTGTGTATGTGTGTCCTGTTTTTAGGAGAGAATACACTAAGTAGGTAGCATTTTAGGGAAGCAAAGAACCAGAGTGAAAAGAGGAGTAAAAAGATGGAGGGAAGGGGTCAGCAAGCGAGAAAGCAAGAGGATGAGCTGAAGTGAAATAATGAAGACAGTTTGTGAGAATAACTGCGAAATGAGTTGTGCCATGGCTGGGTGCTGAGGTTCGGCTCAATAACATGGTAATTCCAGGCAGCATACTTCTGCCTTTTGGTTGGGGGTGTCTCGTGGAAATGAAATCAGGAGTCTGTTAAAGGACTTTAACAGAATTTGATAGTCAGGTTGTTTGAAGTGAGATAGCATAACCTACATTTGAATTGCTTACTGGTGACAATGCTTAGTGTGTCCAGGATAGCTGAACTAATTGATGCAAGTCAGCTCAGGATGTGATGATGTTAAATTGTTGGTGGAGATCGTTATGTAGTACTGCTCCAGATGAGTTCTGTAGGAACTCTTAGTGTAAAAGAATCAGGAAAAGACAAATAAACTTCTGGTGCCAGCCTTCAAGCCTGCCAGTGCTCTTTAAAAATGTCTGTTGAAATAATGGGATCCTTCCCTAAGGTGGGGAAGAGCATCCCAAGCAGAGAAGTGAATTGTCAAATATATTCTTGAAATTCCTGAGGAACGTTGTTTCAGTGCTATGAAACATTAGTTGCATCTCTTCTTTTTGAGTTTTCGTTGCAATTGAAAGGTTCAGCCTGAAGCGGTTATTACTTAGTTATATTTAGTGTTGTGAAAGGATGCAAATATGTTTTCTCCATGCTTTACATATTTAATTAAACATTTTGTACCCTGACCAAATCTCTACTTATGCTGTATGTGTCTGGCACAGACCAGATTGGAAAGTCCAGAATGAAATATTTGAGAGACAGAGATAATGCACTCTTGGTCATGGAGTGGAGAAATACCAGTCTGGTCACACTGAAATCATTCTACAAGGTCTTCCTCTCCTTTACCAGTGTAACCAGAATAATTCAGGTGCGTGTCAGAACACCAAGCAAAACCTGACATATTCACCAGGGCATCCAATAATCACAGAGAAGACAAGGGCGCATAAAGGAGAGGCTACATAAAGTCTAAATAAACTACTGTGCAGGCGTGTTTTATTAAGATATGCCTAGATAAAGCACTGAGGACTGCTATGGAAAACCCACATGCAGGACAGTAGTTGAAAAGCAGCAGATCTGGCTTCTCAACTTTATTGATTTTGCAGCATTCAGCATCTAAACAAGCCAACAAACGATTCCTGAACAAGCAAAAAGCTGATGTAGATCAGTCTAGTCTGTCCACTGTCCTTTGGCTATGTAGGACATCCCTGGAGATAGATGGGGAGGGGTGAGCTGTCTGATGTGCAATTACAATACCAACTTGAAAGGCAGAAGCAATAAATTGTGAACTAAACTATATCTGCTCATTGTTCAGCCTGTTCTGATACTGTTTTCTAATGATACAAGATGGGAGGGTTGGGTTGGGTTTTTTGTAGATGCATCATTAAGGAAACCTGAGGGGGCAAAAGGTCAGCCTTGGACTTTTTCTTCTTGTGTTGGCTACAACAGCTGAGTTGCTTCATTAGTCTGGCTAAGTTTTCCCGCATTAGGCAAGGAGAGGGATGAGAGGGATGTTGAAGGAGAATGAGTGCATGTAGTTTCCCAAGCAAATGGGAGAACATAAAACATAGGACAGTAAGTAAACATTAATAAGTAAAATGTAAAGGATCTATTTCAACATGTGTTCAAGACTGATTTCATTGGCAGTTGGAGTGACTCCTGTAATAAATATAATGAATGGGAAAAAGTAATAAAACACAAGGAGAAGAGCTGAGGAACCGAGAGAGAGAGATAGGAATCATTGTAGAAAAATAGGAAGAAATATAGAAAGAAGGAAATGGAAGAAAACTGATGTAATGAAGTACTCTTTTGAAAATTTCTTTCAAAAATAATTGTGTTCACAGAATCCCATAAAGTTAACTGAGTAAGTTACATAACCGTTTTGAAAGCTTGCTGCTCCCAACATTTTCTCATCTGTTGCCATGTTAGGGTGTTGGCAGCTGAGCAAGCTGGAATGCCTTCACTGACTCAGAGTCCCCTGCGGCAAATCACTTTGCCTCAGTGTGCCTGTTTTCCCAACTGTAAAATGGGGATACTGGCTGTAGCTACTTCACAGGAATGATGGGAGAATTATATGGTTAATGTTTGTAAGTGAGCTTTGAAAAAGTAAAGTACAAGCAGTAAAGCAGAAGGGATTATTATCTTCCTTTTGACTCAAGGTCTTCTCACAGAAACGTTGGATGACTTGATGACTGAAACGTTGTCATTCTCAAGCCACAGCTACAGAAGCTGCTGCAAATCTTTATCACAGACATTGTTGCTTTTTGCAACATACAGAAGTTCATTAATTTTTTTACTGGGCCCAAAGTTACAGTTTTATAGATGGATAAATATATCCACCACTAGGAGAAGAAGAGACCTGCTGAATGGGGCTGTAGATGGTGCAGGTGAGTTAGGAAACGCTGCTTCTCTTCCTTGATGTGTTGCCTAACCTTGGGTAAGTATCTGTGCCTCTGTTTCTTCAGCTATGAAATAAGTGGCGCAATACTGACCTACCTCAAAAGCACGGTGGAATTTGGTGTGGTCAACATGCGAGCTGTTGCCGTACAACTGACCTTAAGATCAGACTGAAAGATGTTTTCCATTCAAAGCACCGCTTTAATTTTAAAAAAATTTCCCTCCGTCTCAGATTTTTCCTGACTTCCTTCCCAATATTTCTTGTTTAAATTTTACATATGTAAAAGCTGTATCTCCACCTAACTGTTCTGTTTTATGTGAACTTGAAAATGATGTTTGTAGCCATGAAATAAGTTTCAAATATTTTGCTTCTACACTATTAATATAGATGAATTTAAACTGCCCAGAATTATCCTGTCCTTAGTCTTCGTTTGAAGACAAGGCATCCTGGCATACTTGAAGAAATGTGGCTCATAACTCACAAACTTAGGATAGTAATAAATACACTGCTTCTTTTAATGTTTTAATTGATACTTAGAGCCTCATGCTGAAGTTGATAGTTGCCTCCTGCTCCATCTGCACAGGAGCACGATGACTGCCCTGGGGCGCCACGTGGACTCAGCAATGTGCCCATGTGCTACCTATTGCAGGAGGCTGAATCCCAGTATACTGCAAGAGCAGGCTTCTGGAGAGCAATATGTGTAACCCTTTCTTGCCATTTGCAAAACCATACCTCCTGTGTCAACTTCTGATACCTTTAATCTTCTTTGTCAGTAGCACCAAGCTGCTTTAAAAAAAAAAAAAAAAAAAAAAAAGGGGGGGCAAAGGGGAGAGAGAAAAAAAACC